TACAACAAAGGGAAAGGGAATTGTTTTGTAGTCCAAGGTTAGAGCAGGGAACAGCGGGGGTTAATTAGACTTATTGAGATCAAATAGGCTGAATGAACAGGACACAGAACCGGACCCTACTCTCTATCTCTGCAACATGGGGGGGAAGGATTGTTTTGTAGTCCAAGGTTATGTAGGGTTGATTAGACTCCTTCAGATAACACAGGACATGATCCCCCGTCTCTTTCTCTAAAACATGGGGAGAGGGGATTGTTTTGTAGTCTGGGGTTAGAACAGGGAGGGATGATTAGACTCATTGAGAGAACACAGGACAGGATCAAAAATCTGAATAGTTTGCTATTGTTTTCTTCTTGGTCCTCCTGCCTAACCTGTGCCATTTCCTGTCTCCGCAGAACGGTATTGTCCCCATTGTGGAGCCTGAAGTTCTCCCTGATGGTGACCATGATCTGAAGAGGTGCCAGTACGTCACCGAGAAGGTACGTGACATTAGTTGCCTATAGCTGGGTGTACACGGGGGTTCAAACCTGACTCTGTAATCATTGAATTAATTGTTTAAATACAAGCAGTGAAATTTGACCTAGCATCAGCCTCTTGAAGTCCCTGTACAGCAGGCCTGGGGTGTGATGGGAAGACGCAGCACCAGGAGCCAATCGGTTGGTGTGCTAACAAGAAGCACGCTGATAGGAGGAGACAGCAGAGTGACAGGGAGTTACGCTACTGCTTCTCCTTTCGCTGTCCAGTCACAGGCTGGGGGCGGGTTGCGTTAAATGATGCTCTTCATCAGACTGAGGACACCTTGTGGTAAAAAATAAGTACTGCAGGGGAACTCCGGATTGAAAGTATAAGCTGCAGCTTGCACTGATGGAAAGTCCACCTTGTCTGCCACGTTTCATGTTACACCCATGTTTAGTCATGTCCATTAGCCTGATGTAAGAAGGCTGAATTGTGCATGCCCAGCTAGGGCAGGGGTGGGCAACCTCAGCACTCTAGCCGTTGTGGAACTACAAGTCCCATGAGGCACTGCAAGACTCTGAGATGATAGGATTTGTAGTTACACCACAGCTGGAGGGCCGAGGTTGCCTACTGCTGCCCTTGGGTCTGTAGGCTCTGATCATGGACAGTGTGCTGACCATTTATGTCTCCCGGCAGGTCCTGGCTGCTGTGTACAAGGCCCTCAGTGACCACCACGTCTACCTGGAGGGAACTCTGCTCAAACCCAACATGGTGACCCCTGGCCACGCCTGCACCAAGAAGTTCGCCCCCGAGGAGGTTGCCTGTGCAACAGTCACCGCCCTGAGGCGCACCGTGCCTCCCGCAGTCACCGGTAAGAGGGGATATGGAAGCTTCTCTGGAGCGATAGGGGCCTAGCTGTGGAGGATTACCGTGTTCTTAATGTTATGATGTTTTCCCCCCGTGCAGGTATCACCTTCCTGTCCGGAGGTCAGAGTGAGGAGGAGGCCACTGTTCACCTGAACGCCATCAACAAGTGCCCCCTGGTTAAGCCCTGGACCCTGACCTTCTCCTACGGCCGTGCCCTCCAGGCCTCTTGCCTTAAAGCCTGGAGCGGAAAGAAAGAGAACGTCAAGAACGCCCAAGAGGAATACACCAAGCGTGCACTGGTACGTACCCCTAGCTGCAGTGCCCTCTGTCACCACTAGATGTCCTACTTCCCTCTCCTTCTAGGACCACTATCACAATGGCTGGATGTGGTCAGTAGTTGTAGTGAATACTAGGGATGCGCCGACACTCGCCCAAATACTCGGTATCGGCACCAATACCGATACTAGTATAGGTGCATCCCTAGTGAATACTGTCAGCAGGAATTCACAAGCCCATCTGCAGCTCACTTCTTAAAGTGGAACTTTTACCTTTTGCAAAAAAGGCAAGCATTGTCTGTGTTTTTTTTCTTTTTTTATGCTTTCTGATCAACAATGGCCAAGTTTAAATCACGTCTATGTAGGGAGTGCGTGTTTTTCAGCCAGTCAGAAGCGACTGGTATTGAGAGAGAGAAAATAAGGCCTTATTCACACAAGCAGTGCTGCATTTCTACTGAGCATATATAGCTGCCCCTATTAAAAGTCTATGAAACCTTTGATGATTATATGCCTGCCGGGCATGTCAGACCCGTGCAGAGAGACTACTGCTTCCACACAGAGAGCAAGCATCCTTTTTTTTATTATTATATAGCATTCTGGCAGGGGACATGAGCTTTGCTGGTCGTAGACCTATTGGCAGGGGGGATGGTGGACCTATGCAGAGAGACTACTACTTCCATATAGAAAGCAAGGATCTTTTTCTATAGCATGCTTGCAGAGGACATGAGCTTTGCTGGTCGTAGACCTATTGGCAGGGGGGATGGTGGACCTATGCAGAGAGACTACTACTTCCATATAGAAAGCAAGGATCTTTTTCTATAGCATGCTTGCAGAGGACATGAGCTTTGCTGGTCGTAGACCTATTGGCAGGGGGGATGGTGGACCTATGCAGAGAGACTACTACTTCCATATAGAAAGCAAGGATCTTTTTCTATAGCATGCTTGCAGAGGACATGAGCTTTGCTGGTCGTAGACCTATTGGCAGGGGGGATGGTGGACCTATGCAGAGAGACTACTACTTCCATATAGAAAGCAAGGATCTTTTTCTATAGCATGCTTGCAGAGGACATGAGCTTTGCTGGTCGTAGACCTATTGGCAGGGGGGATGGTGGACCTATGCAGAGAGACTACTACTTCCATATAGAAAGCAAGGATCTTTTTCTATAGCATGCTTGCAGAGGACATGAGCTTTGCTGGTCGTAGACCTATTGGCAGGGGGGATGGTGGACCTATGCAGAGAGACTACTACTTCCATATAGAAAGCAAGGATCTTTTTCTATAGCATGCTTGCAGAGGACATGAGCTTTGCTGGTCGTAGACCTATTGGCAGGGGGGATGGTGGACCTATGCAGAGAGACTACTACTTCCATATAGAAAGCAAGGATCTTTTTCTATAGCATGCTTGCAGAGGACATGAGCTTTGCTGGTCGTAGACCTATTGGCAGGGGGGATGGTGGACCTATGCAGAGAGACTACTACTTCCATATAGAAAGCAAGGATCCTTTTCTATAGCATGCTTGCAGAGGACATGAGCTTTGCTGGTCGTAGACCTATTGGCAGGGGGCATGGTGGACCTATGCAAAGAGACTACTACTTCCATATAGAAAGCAAGGATCTTTTTCTATAGCATGCTGGCAGGGGACATGGGCTTTGCTGATTGTGGAGCTATTGGCAGGGGGCATGTTTGGCCTCTGCTGAGACACTTCTACTTCCACACAGAGAGCACAGGTCTTTCTTTGCAGCATGCTGGAAGGAGACGGGCTTTTATACTCGGGCTGTGAGTCCTTTTGAAAGGAAAACTGTAAGCCTTTTATACTCCTTTTTTGTTTCGATGCCCTTGGAATGTATTCAATTGATTTAAGCTGGGTTTTGAAATCGATACAAACTTGCAAGTTTTAGATCCTGCCACAATCCTCTGTTATGTAACCAGCTGTCAGTGTTCTCATGTACATTGTAACATTGTTTCTCATAGGAAATAACTTTTTTGCTGACTTCCTGTTACTTTTTTTTCCCCTCTAGGCCAACAGCCTGGCTTGCCAAGGAAAGTACGTCTCCTCTGGCCAAGGTGGTGCAGCCGCCGGAGAGTCCCTCTTCGTCTCCAACCATGCCTATTAAAGTTTCCTCTGCCTATTCTTTGTGGTGGTGTCACTGGAGGCTGCTTGCGTCTGTGTAGTGTGAGGAGCCCCCCCTCTGCAGAGCAACATTTCACTTCCTGCTAGATCCAA